CGAGGGAGGAAGAAAAGGGGGCTGACTGGTTCCCCTGGCCTCGTGACCGGCTCGTAATTGCAATTGCTTTTCGTGGGAGGGCCGGTAGATAATTGATAATTAAGCGCGCGCCCTCCTTGCCCCCGGCAAAGAAGCTGAGAGTTCGGGAACGATGAGAGGGAAGAGGGCGGCAGAGGGAACGAAAGACCAAATGTAACGATGCCATTTGAGACCGGATGCGATTGACTGGCATCCTTGCTTTCTCATTACCGTACGTTATATTCTGATTCTTTATCCACTGCAATTTAATTATTTATATATCAAATTGTATCAGAGAAACTTGAATGTGTATATTTGTTTCACTGTTCATTAAATTTGATCTAGTTTAGATGACGCATCTTTAAAAGTAAACAAAGGAAAGGTTTACTTAAGTGGACCGTATGATATTTTTAATTAATGGAATATTAATCTTGATTATAGCGAGTTACGAATCGAATTCTTTTCTGAAATGTATTATACGTCTCAATTTAATACGTATTTTCATTCTCCGTGTTACATCAATTCGCGTCATTGGAAATTTCTAAAAAACTTGTTTCTACAAGTCATTACACCCGCGGTATGCAGACGCACCGCAATCGGTCTCCGTCTCAATAACCAAAATTCAAATCGACATTGAAATTCCATTTTAGCAGGCTTATCTTAATTTTTCGACACATGTGCGCAAACAAGCAGCGTGGACGTCAATACGCGCTCGAATGTCTCAGAACGGTTAGGATTGACGTTGGAAGGTCGAGTAACTTTTCTTATTTTTCCAAGAATAACGGTTAACGGTTAATGTGGAGAAAAAAAAGGAGATGAAATGCGGGTCACTTCACAGAGTGTTTTTTATGACTGTTTTTACGAAGAATGTGCTACACGTTCGCGAGATGAATCTATGTTAAACGACAAGATTAATAATATTATTAACTGTACATGCGCATAACCAGCAGACCGTAGTAGCGCCGCGATTAATAAATAATAACGATTTTTCGTTTTTAACTCGTTTGTTTGCAGGCGATACATTCGTGGATCTTTCCCATGTACACTGATCGTAACGTGCGAATCTAAGTGTTACAACGATATTTCAGTTTATTGCCTTGACTTTACTCTTCTCTATTCGAGACGACTGTCACTCGTTATATCAACTATAAATTACTGGTAGTAGTATCTTTCTCTCTCTTTCTCTTTTTTTCTTCTTATCTAAGGGTGAACCCGGTAGGAACTCTAGCATTGTAAAACTACGAGTAATAACATTGTAACTCATTGTCAGTGGTAAGGCAATAATGTGGCGTCCCGCTGCGTCGGGTTGGTTGATGTCGCTTTCGTGAAAACGTGCGTTGTCGCACGAAGGAAACATACGTCCTGGGATATACGCTGGTCTACGTTCGTAGTTCCGCTTCCCAGACTGGTGTTTATTATAGAAAAGTGGAGAGATTAAAAAATCTCTTTTGCAAACAATATAAATAAATATACTTTGAAGTAAGAACTCGATTAAATAAGACCCAAATACATTGTTGATGTATTGCATCAATTTGTACAAAAATATTACAAGAATGCACAACAATATATAAAATATGTATTATAATAATAAAAAACTGTATATAACTGATTTCAGTACTTAACTCTTTTTCGAAAATGTTAGAAATATCGCTTTTGCGATTCCGTATTGCATATATGTCAAACACAACAATATTTCACATATAATTAATAAACTAAGTATTAAGGCTCAATTATTGAGACAAATCAATACACTCAAACAATGCTGATTAGAGCCAACACAGGATGTCAATGTGAAGTTTGGTTTATTTAAAAAATAAAATAATATAAAAAAAAAACGCAAACGTTTGACATCGCAGTTACATCACTACGCTTAGCTGACTGATTTCTGTTAACATTTTTATATGTGAGAGTATTGATAAGAATCCAATATTTCACATGTTGTAGGTAATATTTTTTCAATCTACTATATGCGTGAGTTATAATTAAAATGCTGGAATTTAAGGTTTCGGATACCCGCGTATTCATTGATCTCACGGAAAGCCGTTTATGCGGAATTCGCGGTCTTCTAATCGGGAAGCATTATTAGTCGACAATACCTGCTCTGTACACAAAAGGCGAATAGCCGGGGGATCGTTATCTGCGCCACAAACACGAAGAAACATAACTTCGTCGTCGGGATCGTTGCTTATCCGGCGAGATCGCGTAGGTGTTAAAGCGCGCGGTTCTCGCCCACTTGAATCGATTCCGAATGGACAGCACGATCGTTTCGTCTTATCGTTCTGTTAACTGTCGCGTCGTTAAGGAGACCGCCCGTCGAAAATTACAGTCTACCTGTACATTTTTCTATCGGCATTTCCTACAGTGCTCAAAAAATTTAAAAACGATAGATAAAATGCTGATAGAATCTTATGAAATTTTCAGTTTTGCGAGATTATTATTTAAGACTATTAATTATACTCACTTAATTTATTAAAATTGTGTCTTCTTCAAAACCTTAAAAAGTTCGCAAAAAGATGTACTTATAAATATGTCTAGGTTATTGAGTTTGTTTTATTAATGTTAAGAAAAATATTCTATTCATATATATATTTTTTAAATTAATTAATATAATAACATATATGATATATATTATATTTATATATATGTATGTATAAATTTTAAATGAGAATTACATGCAGGGTTGCCACACACCTGGAAAACCGGGAAAAATCAGGGAAATTGAAATTGGTCATGAAAAACTGGGAAAAGTCAGGGGAAAATGTAAAAAAGTTTGGAATTTTGAAATTTACTCACCACATTTCCTTAAACTGCTCCTATTCCAAATAATTGTTACAATTTTTTAAATATTATATCTGACGTTTATAGTCAAATACGTTCAAAACTCATGCACTTTAAACGATTTTAATAAAATAATTAAAATTTATATTTTATTCAGTATTTTTATTTGATCGCCCTTTTTGGTAACTGCATTTTTCTTCCAATAATTAATTTTTTGTTGGCTTGAATTTGCACCCAAAATTTTATTATGCTACTAAGCCTTTTTTGCATTATTTTTAATAATATAGGCTAGCTTTTTCCTACACTGAAAAAAAATATATTCAATTTTAATAAGTATTTAGTTCAATACTGCCAACTAAATATTTATTAAATATAAAGATATATTTATTTGATACAGGAAACATTAATTTGATTTAATAATCTTCTTTTTACTGAACAATTATTTACTGGCAATATTTTAATTAAGTTTAATTGGCAATATTGAACTAAATATTTATTAAAATTGACTATATTTTTTTCTGAGTGTACAATCCTTGATTCTAAATGTGTTAAAATTTACATATTTTATATTGGAAAATTTTTCATTTTCATCTGGAAAACCTGGAAGTCAGGGAATATTAAAATTCATTTTCTGTGACAACCCTGACATGTATCTTTAATTCACAATTTATATACAATTTATCTTAATTTAATTTATATACTGAATATCTTGCTTAAATGCTTTAACTTAATTTTATTTCAAAACTGATTTCTCTAAATTTGTCAGCTAAAATTGAATTAAATATAAAGATGTATTTATAGGTAAAATTATAAATGCAGATTGGAAGTCAGTGAATAATTGCGGCTCATTTTCACGAAATTACGCGACGCGATGCAAAGTGCATTAAAGAGTTGCTTAATCAAGAGGCGTTCTGCATTATTTCATAACTGGACGAATCACGTTGGCGGCGAGTTGCACAACTCACCGCCGCGCCACGCCGATGCATTTCACGCGACACGCGCGAACGCAATTCCGGCATCGCGTTCAATTGCCTCGAATACAATCGATCAATAAATATTTATGAGCGACTCGAGCATGTCTCGCGACGCGACAGATGCACGCCTGCCGATGTTTTACGTCGATGACGTCTGTTAGAGACTGCAGACGGGATGATATGTTCGACATAGTAAAAGATACAGTTTTTTTAATCTCTTAAAGTACGAAATGCCGAAATAACAAGAAAAGACTTAAGTAAAATATCTTTGTTATATGCGTAGCTTTCTTATCCAAATTTCCGTGAGATTTAATAATGTACACTTATCTGAACCATATCTCTATAATTTTCAAAATTTACCATATCTCTATAATTTTCAAAATTTACAGAGATTTTTAAAAATTAAAAATTCTCTATAATTTTGAGATTCTATAATCTTAAGATATAAAAATTTCGTAATTTTAACACTTGTAACGTTCCAAAGATCTCTAGATTATGACTCATATTTATGACGAAATTCGAGCCGAATTTTTGTTTGCATAATAATAAGCATAATTTTTTTCACGGTACCATCAGCTTTAAAGCTCTTTTTTTAATATTAACGATTCTCTTAAGACGTTATATTGTATAGAAGGGATACTTGCCGTTACCGGAGTTCTTGCGCTTATTTACGAGCACGTTACACGCAATGTTAATTCGACAGATTTGATCATAAATAACGTCCGTGTATACCCACACGGACCAGGTATATATTTATCTCACTCTATAAAATTCATTCCCGCCGGATGTACCGCAGTTTAGGTGATGGCTGAAATTTATGAACGCAGGTTGTGGAATCAACGCGCAGCAAATTTTGAACGCGTTCGTCCGGCACATATTTTTTTACAATCATTAAATTTTATGCACGTGCGCAAATATAGATACAAAAGTATTCCAAAAAGGCTAGTTAGTCGTGCGTATATTCCGAGATGTAAAAGTTCCGAGCAAAATCCCAAGAATTTATTTAAATTTCTGGTCTTTCAACCATATCCCACAAACGCGCGACTTTTTCTTTAGAGCACGAAAGGATTTAGAAGATTGATTTCTATTTGCCGAGCATCTAAAGAAATAGTGTCTCACATTTAAACGCGCTGGGATATCGATAGATACGAGTAGAGATACGTCAAATTAAATTCGATTCTCGGTTCTTGAATGTCACAGCAATCAGTCGTTTTCCATCGATTGTTTCAGGAGAATGGCTGTCTGTACTCGCATATACGGTGGGGCGAGGCCTTCGTCGTGGTCTACAGCGTGACATGTAAACGGAGCTTTCAGGAAGCCCGTGGACTTCTCAAACAACTCGCAGATCTACGCCTGCCATCCTATTTCACCGCCCTCCTGCTCGGCAACAAGAGAGATTTGGATCATGCACGGTAAGCGTAAATCACACATTGTTAGAAATATGATTAACGGTTCCGCGTAACGGGCGGGCGTGTATCTCCGGTAACATCTGATGACGATCTCTTAACTGATATACGACCAAATAAACCGCACACGTACGCATCATAAAAACGGTATTTATTAATAAATCGGTAGCGGGGCGTAATTTTTCGCCACTTCATCGGCGTGAGAGAAGCCCTTCCGGTGTGTCTCGGAGCTCGTTTATCGCGTGTATTATATATAATTATAATTAATAATCGTCGTTCTTTCTGAGGTATAATTTATTAGTATCTCCTGGACTTGCAGAATTCGATATTATATTACCGTAGTTACATTTCAATCTGCTGTTGAATAATTGTTAATAGTCTGCATGATACTTGAATGCTGCTGAATATATTTCCCGCATTAAATAAAAGTAAAAGAAAAACGATGCTTGAGTGTTCGTAAGTATTGTTATGCTTACACATGGCCCATTTTTATTTACGGCTTCGCAAGTCTGACACACTTTATCGATTGTCGTCTCTTAAGGGGTTCTCACACGGTCAATATTTCTGATAATGATTTTTTTTTAATTAAATAGATTGAAAGTACATAACTTTTAAAATTTTAACATCAGATTCAATGAAAGAGACGTCGAACAGAGGACTTTTCTTCAGTATACGATACTGAATCCCATTCTTGTGCGGAAAAAAAAACGATTTTGCTGAATCTAAAAATTTAGTTAGATACAGATTTGACAGATTAATTTTATTGGACCATTAAAATAATTATAGGAAACTTAAGCCTGATGAGAGCAATACTATAAAAAATTTTGAGCAACAATCTTGAGCACCTTACATAATTACTTTGATGACACAGAATTAAAAATTATTTTCAGATCTGTATCTTGCTAAATTTTTAGACATTTTAGCAAAACCGTTCTTTTCGTGCAGAATTGAGATTTATTGGGGAGCTCATTCGATTGCTCGATACGAATCGTATGAGGGCCGCTTAAGTGGCTCGCTCGACGCAAGAATTACAATATCATTTCGTGTCGCGCGATCGGGAGATCGTGCGACACGGCTTCATGTATCGCCTTCGGCGGATCGTCGATTATTCGATCGTTCCTCTTTTTCTTTTAACATCGCATTTTATCTCAGCTGATCGCACACGTGCGCGTGTAAGTACGTGTGCCCGGCCTCTATTAATCCTGTAGTTCACTTTCCACTTGCGAGTAACAGGATCCTCGACGGCTGCTTCCTAGATGGGATGAGATTTCGCGTGTGCCACGCGATTCGTATTTTTCCGCAGGCAACTCTTTATCAGGTTCTTCCAGCAGATTTTGTTGTTTCTTTTACACTCGGTTCACCATGCTCACGTTGCTTACTACGAATTGCTTCTGTTGTCTCATCAAGAAGAAAATGACGCATTTTGGTCCTTCATGTCCCAAAGTTCCCTTAACCCTTTGAAGCATACATTTTTCTTTTTAACCTTTTTCTGTGAAATTCGGTACACGAGGATTTTTCAGGTCGCTGATTACGAATCCAAAGTCAAAATATAAAAATATTGCATCCAAGATTCAAGGCGGATTAAAAAAAACTGGTGGATTAAATAAAACTGAATTTATGCATTTCCCTTCCGCCATTTTGAATCAATAATTTTGGAAATCTAGCATCGGATTAGTAATTAGCGACCACAAAAACCCTCTACACGAAGTTTCAAGCTAAAACGTTAAAAAACCTGGTCAAAAATGAATTTTTCCGAAAAATGGGTTTTTTTTAATCTTTGTTTATTTATAAAACTGTTACAATAAATAATAAGGATTACTAAACTATTTTTTTAATAGTCTTCTACTTCTATGACTCCAGGAAAACACAAAAAACCAAATTTAAATGCATCAATTAGAAAATAAACGATCAAAAACTGAAGAAGTTTAGGTGGTACGTAGGTTACCACCATGTTTCAAAGGATTAAGTGTACATAGAAGAGACTTACATATGTAGTTAAATTATACAAAATCTTTGAACGTCCGAGAATGTCTAAATCTTCTAAGCGCTGTATGGTTCGATAGTATTAATTCTTATGACTTCTCTCTCGCATATACGTATATTTCACGTCTATTCACGAACTACCGGAATTACTGGAAACTTTTTATACGACGTTCCTGTTTAAGAAGTTTTCGCCGCGCGTGCGTGAGTTTCTTTTTTTTACCGGTACAGTGCGCGTTTTCGCAAAAACCAGTTCAACGAACCGAACGTTCGATCGGCCACACGATGACGGAGTAAGTTAATCGGCCGGCTGGCACGTCAACTCCGGCGAGCGATTCATCCAAGTCGGTCAAGCGACTTGGACAGGGTAAACAGATCTGGCGTGGCGAAATATCGCGTGAACGGTTTTCTAGACGCGCGACGAACGACACAATCACTACCGGGTACCTCTCGAATCGATGGCATCCGATACTGACACTGCGGTCTACGCTTAGATGCCACGTGTCACGTTTCACGCATTGCCGTCGAGAATTCAGCGGTTCGACAAGTATGCTAATAAATGAATGTCATATCAAGTAGCTTGCCGATCATAGTTTGGTCGAGCAAACGTAAAGATAATTAAATTACACAAATTTCCTTGATTTTATGTCATGTTCTTAGAGAAATTTATGTAAGGTCTTAAAATTAAGAATTAGCAATTTAGATCTCCGGAAATATTTAAGACCTTAAAAATTAAAAAATTTTTATTTTAAAGTTTATGAAATTAATTTTTTTTTAATTTATAAAAGAAATATCAATCTTTTAACGATAATCTAATTTAGCAAACTAATCCTGCAATTAGTGATAATTGTCAACGTGATCGGCTTCTATAAAACGATGTAATTTCTTCGATATATGAGTTTTTATATTCGAACGAAGAACTGTGAAAAAATGTAGCTTGTTCAGTAAAAGATACGCGATACAAACAAGTATGGCTTCTATGCGGTTTCTTGGTCGCTAGTACATATTTTGTCGCATTTTATGCAACCAATGGCTTCAAAGTGCATCACCGACATTGCATGATTCGGGCGAGAGAAAGCTAAGAAATACAAATATACGCCGTTTTTGCTTGTAACTTGTATAATAAAGAGTGGTGGCTCATTAGCCTTGCTGAATCGGTTTCTCATGTGTCCGCTGCAGATTAATTAACATGACAGTGATGAGCGTGCGAATAAATATTCGAATTTTTCACTTCGTGAACTTACCATGTCGTAGATTTCACAGATCGATGATTTTCTTTCAAACGCACGAAGCAAAAAACAAAGCATTTTCTCTTAAGTTCGAGTTCTCTTATAATTAGTTTAGTTGATTGTAAATGAAATTAAATTTTTCTTCTCGAGGAATAAAATTTCTTTTAATAATAAAATATATGAATAAAAGCAATATTTACGATTGTCTTTAATTATATTAATATAGAATTTTATAAAATTGTTTAAGTATTGTCAATATAAAATTTTATTTAAGATTAAAATTAGTAAAACTTTTTTGAGAGGAGACTTACATTTTCTTTTACACGCGGTTAATAGCCAGAGATAATCTTTTATTTTGGCTTTTTTTCGCTAACGAATTGTCTTCATTATCACTTGTTACGTCGCTCACATTCCGAAGATTGCGCCTTGATCGTTGTAGCTGCGGAAGAAACACAGG